ACCGATGTTGTTGTCTTTGTTCAGCTATGTACATTCATTTTGCCCCCAAAAAAGTCGATTCCCCCCACCCCCGTACTTAGAGACAGGGAGTTTCTAAGAATCCCCCCCCAGACAGCAATTTGTAATCCAATGGGGGGTGTGGGGCAGAAAACGTTTGGAAACCACTGGGGGGGGGGGGGGGGGCGGGGGAAAAAGTTTGGGAACCACTGGGGTAGAGGATGTTTTAAAAAGACACGGGTTAGCTCACCGCGGCTGCGTAGTGTCCAGCGGTCCGTACCATTCCGGGGGTACTATTTAGCTCCCGCCACGAAATTTTAGCTGACCTTAATATTTCCAGTGTTATGTTTTGGTCATTATTGTTGAGATCTGTGTGTCTGTATATGTCTGATATGGAACAAACCGGTATCGGTTCAATACGGGACACAACAATTAGCAGTCAAATACGAAACGATTCCGTATTTTATGGGACGGGTAGCAACCCTAACAAGACAACAACAACCACCTGTCATTTTAGGCTAGCTTAAGCTAACCTGAATATTTACAACCCTCCTGTTGATACACTAACATTACTTACCTACTGTCTTTCAATCACTTTGAAAAGCTTTTCTTCATCCCTCCAACATCTTTATCCCTCCCCCTATTCCATTTTCTGTTTTGTGCCCCGGAGTTTTTTTTCTCCCGGCCCATCTTTAGCTCCCTGTTGTCGAGTGCACTACCATTTAAAGAAAAAGAAGAAGAAAAAAACGCGCCTCAACGCGTGCCCAAGCTACCATAAATGTGTGTATGGGGAGGGGCGGCGGGGGCGACAAGAGGAGTGGTGAAGGAGTGGGGGGTAGGGAGTGGCGCCTAATCAGTGCCATTCCTCCATTACTGATCATTTCATGCATGCACAAATAGCTGTTAAATACGGAAAATGTCGACTAGAAAAAAATTCCCCACATCGTTTTTTTGCGCCCCCCTGTAGTCGCTTACAGTGCATACCCACTTTTTGTGCCACTACATAGGCCCCCAAGCTGTGGCTTTTTATCTATTGATCTTTAGAAACATTCATAAACAGTGTGCAGACTTTAAGTCAACCTTAAAGTCAAACTTTAAGCTTGACCTTTCTGTTTAGACTCATATTGACAAGTGTTATTTTTTTTGAACCATGGATGTACCTTGTTTTCATGGAAAAAGTGGAACCAGACATCAGTGTTTTCTCTCATAATGGAGCGTTGTACAAAGAGGAAGTGAAAGAGTGTCTTATAACAATATAAAAAGCATGTTTTTACTGAGCAAGCTTGCGCTCAGTCTCTGAGAAACCTTCAAGAACCTGTTACCAGTTTAAAACATTAGAAACGAAACAATCCACATTTTGATATAACGATGGTACTTGACAAGATGTAATGCTTCAGGTGTTGTGTTCTATGACTTTGTATTTCCGTGTTTTTATGATATAAAGCACTTTAAACTGCCTTATTGCTGAAATGTGTTATGCAAATAAACTTCATTGATTGTGCACAATGAGTTCATACACAGGCTGTGAATGTGTGGGGAAAGTGTCAGAGCGAGGGAGATCTTGTGGGTAACCAGAGTGAAGCTGCTGGACCGTGGTGATGTTGGAGGGTTGACAGGTTTCGCTGGCTTGAGGAAGAGGAGTGGAGCATTGCCAGTCGTGGAACAGGAACCAGAGGTATTTATCTTGAGGAAACGTGGACAATCAAAGATCTCAAGGAACAGGAGCCAGGAGGTACCATGGAACCTTGCAAGGAGGATACTAGAAGGTAAGTCGAGGAGTAATCAACAATCTAAAGGGAGGCAAGTCGTAGGAACAGTAACTGGCTCAGGGTACCATGGAGCTATAACACTCAAGCGTTGAAGCCTGGCAACTAGCTCCTCTTATCTTCTAGGTGATGAACCTAAATGATTCTAAGTGTGTGAGATGCTCACCTGGTCAATCGTCCACAGTGGCTCTCTGGTGGAAACAGAGGAAAAAGCAAACCCCACACAGAACCCAAACTCCATTCTCCTAACACCAAGACTCCTGAAAAAATAATGACTTGATCCAAAACCTGTAATTTTTATTTATTTATTTTTGAGGAGCTTAAGAAGAGAAAACTGTTATAATCAAAAAACATTTTCACTGGTAACAGTCTTTCTTACTGTTGCAGAATGTGCTATAACTGATGTGATCTGACACAAATACTACATTTATTGCATTCATTTTAAGAGAAAGAATACATTTTTTATAATTTTATATTAGTTAGAGAAAAATAAAGTTGTAGCTGACATTGCACAACATGATCAAAGAAACCAAAACAAAACGGTTGAAAAGGCAAAAATGTTGAGAAACTTTTTGATTCAGTTGATTAGCAAATTATTTTTAACTCAGTAAAGTTTGAACATTAACAACATAACAATTAAAAAAAAACACTTGTTCTCCTTAAAGAATTACATGTTTCAAACAACATTCTTATGAGAGATTTATAATCCTTAATATTATTATTGGCTGAATACCACTGCCATTGTTAGCCCAAAGTAAATGAATGAAGATTTTGATTTTACAATATTCTTAGCCAGGTGTTAACATGAAAATGTACATAAAAGTCAAGGTGTACAGTATGCCCTGTCCATTCTCATATTTGATATTTCAGTTGTGATTTCCTAAATCCCTTCTTTGGGTAACTGAAGAAAACAATAGAATAAAAGGGGAAAAAATCAATAAGACTAGAGACTAATATGAAGTAAAACATAAAGATGTTTGTGACCATTACAGTGATTATTTCAGTGATTTGGATCGCCAAAGGATTATCAGAATATGAAAAAAACACTATAACACTGACAACTAATATCAAGTAAAGCACACTTTTTTGAAACTATTTCAGTGATCCTAAGCACAAAGTATAGTATGAAATTAGATTTGATCAACAGTTGTACGTCACTCACACACTACACATTTCATTTAGACTTTCAATGGCGTCCTTCTTACTTAAGGTTCTCCATTGTTGAGGAATTGCTCCATAACCCTGGAATTTATTTTTATTGTAGTTTTCAAGTTCCTTTTGAAAGTGGCAAACAAACCATTTCCAGTAGGCCAACATAGAGTTATCAGCTGTAATGCTCCATGAAGCATATTTTTTTCCAGCTGTTGGATACTGTTTATAGGGAACACTCCATTCTGAGTCGTGTTCTTCCATCACTTGCAACTAATGTGGTGCAGAAATCAATGACCAGATCATCTGTTCGTCTGTAATGCCAACCTCTAACCCCATTGGGTCGATGAAAAGGAACGCTGTGCTTCTCAGGTTTGTGGTCCTTCAAAGTGTTGGTGCAAACAGCAGCACAGAATGGACACGTTTCCCAGCAGCAGTTACACAGCTGATCAATCAGGATCTGATCAGGTTTCTGTCTGCAGTCATTCACCTTTTCCAGGGAGAGTTCGCTCATCTCTGTTGTGATTCTTTTCAGGCCTTTCTCTATCTCTTCTTTAAGGAAGTCAAAATTGTTTATGTCACTGAAGTTTTGACAACTAACAGTATCAAGTATCAACTTTGGTTTTAGTTTTCTAGAAAATTCCTCTACCCACATTTCTATGTTTCCTTTTCTGTGTTTGAATTTCTGTGTTGCCTCAAACAAAGCCTGACTGATGACTCTGCTGATTCCTTCTACATTTTTCTTCAGGATATTCTGGGCTTTAACTTTCTGTGTTGTGAACATGTATTTCTTTACTTGTTCTTTGATGAAAGCCTCGACTTGAGCTCTTGGATTTCTGATATAGGTGGTGAATCTGTTAAAGTCTTCTTTCTCTGCCAGAGATGCCAACACATGTTTCTCTAAGTTCAGTCTGTTCCCATTGAATGCAGGGAAACTGCACATCATCTGTCCAGCAATATCAACTCCAGTCTTGTTACAGACGGCTTCTACAGCAGAGACTTTGAGTTTTTCACAAATAATTTCTCCAAACACCACAGCAGATGAACTTCCTTTGCAGAAGCTTCTGAAAATGTTGTAATACTCATTTTTCTTGTTGTCCAAATAAGTGAGAGCATCATTGTTGTCTCTGTAGATCTTGTGGGAGTTTAAAAGCCAAACTTCAGCCCTATCAAACACATACAGTGAAAGATCAACTGTAAACTCCTTCTTGAATGTAAATTTCTTCCCTGATTCAAACTCTGCCACTTTTTGTTTAACATTTTTGGCCAGTTCCTGCAAGTAGGTTGACCTGTAGCCTCTTGTTGCAACAGGTTTGCTTCTAATGGCCTCGAGACATTCTTGTTCAACCTTTTTAACAAATGATCTGATCAATTCCTGTTCTTCATACTGCAAATGATTCTCTGATTCCACATGCTGTGTTGTTGATGCCATTCCAAACAATTGTTGTAAAAAGCCAAAAAAGGTTTTGCTTTGTCCGCTTGTGTCTTTGTCTGCTTTTTTCTTGTTTCCCTGAGACTGTTGGCTTTCCTCGTATTGTTTTTGATACTTCTTTTGGGTTATATAACAAACATAGGTTCCAGTTTCTGAGATATTTTTGTATCTCTGACCTTTTTTTGACTCACCAATGAGTCCCCATTCAACCCCAAGGTCTTGAAGGACAGCAAACTGATCTTCCTCCAAATTTATGTTCTCGATGGGTTTTGTATCTGTGGTTAATTCCTTAACCCAGTGACTCCAAACGTCGCTAAATTGTGCTTTTAGTTCCTCTTCATCTGCTGCAATGCATCTTAACTGGTGAGCGAGCTCTTTGCTCTTCTGTTGTAGATAGTTTTCAAACTCTGTCTTCTTCTTGTCAAGCATTTTTCTAGCATTATTTTGCTGGATTACTTCATCCAGTTTTCTTTTCACCCCTCTCACAAGTTCCTCATGAAACTCTTTGATTTTGTTCTCAAATCGGCCCCGCCACTGAACCAACATCTCTTTGTCTTTGTCATCTTCAAAATAAGCTGTCATACTTTTTGTTACATCTTCATATGTTTTAGCCATTTCTTTGATAAGGTCGTTCTTTTCAACTTTGTCCAGTTGGCCTTTTTCAATTCTAGGATAAAGTTGGTTTTCAATGTTCAGCATCTCACTCCTCAGGGCCCAAGTCCAGTTCCCATACTGGACCTCCAGTTTTCTGTAAACTGCAATTTCTTGGGTGTTTTTGAAACTAAAAACAAATTGTTCATTCATCAAGGCGTTCCACAGGTCTTGGATTTTGTTGTTGAAATGTGACAGAGTGATCCCAGTGGACTCTTTGGCTTTAGACAAGATGATGGACTTCAGTTCTTGGACACTTTCACTATAACCTGGATTTGGAGGAGCCATTGGTGGACTTCCCTCCCACAGCTGAGCAAAATATTTTACATCTTTTTGCACATCAAATGCGATGACATCACTGAAGCACTCAACATCACACACTTCCTCTTTGGCAGCAAGTTGAGTCATCTTGTCCAGTTTTTCTTGCAGTCGTCTCTTTCCATCCATGTTTTTCTCTGCTGCTGTAATATCTGTGACGTTCTGATGGACAAACACACAACTTGGAGAAAGCTCAACTTTCTTCATCCTCATCAAAGCCTGCACAACAATCTGTAGGACATCTTGCATGTCAGCTGGATTCTCACCAAAAATGTTGATCAGTGTCATGTTTCCCAGACCAACAACAAATGTTGCAAGTTCATTGTCATGATGAAGGGTAGCATTACCTGCTAACTCAAGAGCTCGCAGTCCTTCAGTGTCCACAACTAGAATGTAGTCAAACTTGTAGTTGTCCTTGATTTCCTCTGACAGTTTAACCAGTTGCATGTAGGCACCCTTGGTGCATCTCCCAGCACTGACTGCAAACTGCAGGCCAAACATGGCGTTCAGCATCGTTGACTTTCCGCTACTTTGTACACCCAGAACTGACAGCACAAAGACTCTCTGGTCACCAAGTTTCTGGATGACTTCTTTTAAGAGACTAGAGATCCATATCAAAGGCACATGGCCTGCATCCCCATCCATCAGCTCCATCGGGTGTCCTGATATCATCAGATCTGCAGCCAGCTCAGGGTATTTAGTCCAATCAGGCTGTCGGCTCAGTGATAGTTTCCTCAGAGTTTGATGAGCTTCATAGATCTGCCCCATCTCTCTGAAGATGTGTTCCAGACCAAAGGTTGCTGATTGAAGCTTTTTGGACAACAGTTCAAGCTCAGTTTGTTTGTGTTTTAATAGATCAGATTTGTCATGTTTCTTCTTCAAGACCAAGACCTCTGACCATGTTTCATCATATTTTTGGAGAATTAAAGGAAGATCATCTGTGGAGAGGGCATCTATGAGGATCTGAGTCCATGTCAGGAAATATTCTCTTTCTTTTGGTGGCAAACTCTGGAGGCTCTGAGTGAACAACCTCATCAGTTTACTATTGGACACTTTACACTGTTTCTCTCGTAGTTCCATCAGCTGATGAGTCTTCTGGGCCTTTTCTCTCTCAATGTCTCCCTTTAGATGATGCAACTCTTTATTGATTTTGCACCAGTCATACCAAAGTTGACCTTGGCAGGGGAGAAATGTATCTTTGATTTTGGCAACGTCCATCCCTTTAACCAATTGAACTAGTTTCATTGCAGCAGATTTCCCTTCCTGGCAGATTTTCTGATCTTCATCTACTTTGACCCCAGAGTCTTTGGCCATAGTTTCCAGTCTGAAGGATGTGTGGGGTCCAGACAAAAGGCTTTTTATAATCTTTTTTAGTTCTTCAGAAACATTCGTCTGGCTCCTTTCTTTCAGACCCAGTTTGTATTTTTGAGGTTCCATGTGAACTGCACTACACTCATTGTCAGCAATGAGAATGATTAGAGGCTTTGAAGACTTGTACAGTGTCTCTATAACTACACTGCTCTCCTGGCTTTTGTCCAGAGTTGGCACAAGAACAACAATGACTGAAGACATTTCAGTCAGGATTTCACACTGTTTTACATTTACTAGAGAATCCCCATGAAGATTACAGAAGGCAATGCAGTCGGTAAAGAAATCATTGGGTTTTCCAGCAGGACAGTACCAGGCAATCTCTGCCACCCCATCCATCAAATGACGAGATTTGGTGCTGCCTTTACAGTTTCTGTGGAAGAATGTGTCGTGGCGGTCGTTGATCAAGGCATTCATCAGCTGAGATTTGGACAAAGACATGGAGCCCAGTCGGAAAAATGAAACCATGGGAGTCTGAGCTTTGTAGATTGGCATGCTCTTCATGGTGACGGTGGTTGTGTTTTCTTTGATTGTGCTTATTTTCCATGTTTTTGTTAATTGTCTGAATGTCCACAAAGGACACTCAATATTTGATGTGAGAGGATCAGGAACAAGCAGTGGTAAGGCATACTGACACTGTGACAACTTTGTGATCATTTTCTGTTTAAGGAAGCTGTCTGAGCAGTGAAATACTGCCATTTGAACATCCATTGGGTGAACATGATTCTCTTTTGACTGATCTGACTCCGTGTTAGTGCTGTAAAGAGCACCAAAGTCACCTTTATCTGTATCCTTGTTTTTGGTCACTTGAACAGCCTTTGAATCGCTCACATCTGAAGCAATTCGCACAGCGATGTATCTGGCTCTATAATCTAATGTCCATAGCCTCTGAAGAAAAGTACAAACTAGATCTTTCTCCAAAACATCATTGGTCTGCTTGATAGGTGGACCTGTTTTAAGAAATTCTGCTGGGGACCATTTGTTCCTAAGTTCAAGCCTTTCAAACAGCGCTTTAGTCTCTCTTGAGATTATTTGTTCATGTTCTCCTGAAGAATTGTATAACGGCTGGAAAGAATACAAGGATTAAAATTAATTTCAGGAAGCACAAAATATCAAGCATAAACCATTAAAAATAAAAAATTCTGACCTTTTCTTTGTTCCCTTTCATCTGAAGGGCTCCTGCATAATAACAATTTATTTCCCAAATTAATCAAATGTTATTTATAACAAACATTGTAAAAGTGTATAACAAGTGATGATATACCAGAAATGGTTGGAGGTTGTGTGGATGGTTCCTGGCTTGGTTCCCAAGTGTTGATTCCAGACTTTTTTCCTCCATCTTCACCATTCATCTCCAAGTCTTTACCATCAACATGTTCCTATAACAAAAAAATATATTCATTACTATTCAGTATCAGTGTATATTACTATTATTGATTGGAATTTCAATGTAATAAGACCAAACATTACTCTAGTCTCAGTTTCACTCTTCTTTTGTCCTGCTGAGAGATAAAAGAGACTCACTACATGACATTTATAGCAAACAGACTTAGGGTGTCTTTCACTTAGTTTTACCTTCCTTGCTTTGTTCTCTGCTGTCATCATTCATGTGTGAACCTTCATTGTCAAAACTTGCCTTAACAAAGAAAGCGGAGTACTTAGCAAATAAATATTAACCAGACAATGTTGGGAAATTATGCTGTAAATGGTAAAGATCAAACCAGCAAAACAAATATTCTTAAGATCAACTTAAAGGTGTTCAATCAGGGACTGTTGGTTATTTTAACATTTTATTATTATTATTTCTAAAAACCACTTACAATTCTAATTTGCATTAGATATAATATAAATTAGAATAATTTGCATATTTAAGAAAAAGATCTTAAATATCTTTTAAGATCTTCAAGTTTTATTTCACAAACTTGAACCTAAATAAAATAGAGTAAATCAGCAAACAACTTCAAACAATAATTTCAAAGTAATTTCAACATACCTTTAATTTATTTTCGCTCTCTTTTTCTTGTCCTGTAGAATTATTTGGGAAAACAAGAGGCAATGGACATAATTACAAAATAAAAATTGATTATATAACCAATATCCACATTAGTAATCCTAGCAGTATGCTACCATGAGCTAATGTCTTGTGGGTGGAATTATTTGGTTACAGTTATGACATGATTGGTTTGGCTGGGTTTTAAGATAAAAAAATGTTTATTACTATGTTGCACATCTACTAACCTAATGCTTTTTACATTGACAGAATAACAGTATGAACACTTTGAAATAATTGAATTTTGTCACTACCAAAGCATGTTAAAGGTGGAGATAATAGAGATAATACCAATTGGGTAAAAATTGTTAGGCATATGTTCCCTTTTTATGATATAGTGAAAATGTCAACATTACATTCAGGAACTGGCAGCAAGTTAAACAAAATTACAATGGTGTTAGGAGACAAAGACAAAAGTATGAAGTGTCTGTGCTAAGTGAGACAAAATACAGTATGTGGATATGTATAACAAAGGGGAGGTGTTCATAGCTATGCTCAATGTGAGTGTGGATGTGTACATTTATAAGCTTGTGAACACTGTCCTTGATAAGTGATGGAGCGTTTATCAGCCAGCCTAGGTAAAGCTCTGATTCAGCTCCACAGATGTCATGAGGAAAGGGAATGGGTAGTGGGAGAGCATCTTTTTTACACAATATCCAGGAGAATTTGTCTCGGGAGAATCCCTCTCTCTTGTCCCCTGAGACAGGGGAGCCTATTCGGTAACACTTTATTTGAAGGGGGGTGAATAAGAGTGTCATGACACTGTCACAAACACCTGTCATGAACAAGAATAAGCCTTCATGAATATTTATGACTGTTGTCAAAAAGCGTCATTTAGTAAATTATGACACTTTTAATACAAAGTTGACATTATTCAAAATGTCTTTGTCATGACAACTTGACATTAACCAATAAATCATTATTGATATAAATTTGTTATAAAAGTATTACTGATTGCACTTTAAAAATTAGGTAACTTTATGTTATTAAAGGTAAAGTTTAAACAGTAATGATTTCTTGGTTAATGTCAAGTTGTCATAACAAAGACATTTTGAATAATGTCAACTTTGTATTAAAAGTGTCATAATTTACCGAATGACGCTTTATGACAACAGTCATAAATATTCATGAAGAGTTATTCATGTTCATGACAGGTGTTATGTCATGTTTATGAAAGTGTCATGTCAGTCTTATTCACCCCCTTCAAATAAAGTGTTACCGCCTTTTCAGATAAAAGCAATTGTTTTGGGTCAGGCTGACTCTTAAATTTTTTCATCTGTCTTAAAGTCTCACTGGTAAATATCAATGGTGTGTCCTAACCAGATACCAGAATCACCTCAACTGGCTCATCACAACATAGAGGAGCAGTGGCTCTACTCCTAGTCCCTCCCAGATGACTGACCTTCTCCTCCATCTCTAAGTGAAAGCCCAGACTCCCTATGGAGAAAACTCATGTTGGCCACTTGTATCCGTGACCTTTTTCTTCCAGTCATGACCCAAAGCTGATTACCATTGAAAACAGTAGAAACATAGATCGACCAGTAAATCGAGGACTTTGCTTTTTCACTCAGCTCTCTTTTCACCAACACAGAACGGTGCATCAATCCACTTGTCAATGTCCCGCTCCATTTTTCCCTCATTCATGATCAAGATCACAAGATACTTATACTCCTCCATTTAGGTCAGGACGTCCTCGCCGATCCAGAGAAGGCACTCTACCCCAAGACCATGGCCTCAGATTTGAAGGCACTGATTCTCATTCCAGCCACTTCACACTTGTCTGCGAATTGCTCCAGCAAAAGCTGTAGATCGTGACCCAGAGTAACCAGTAGGACCACATCATCCACAAAAAGAGAGATGCAACCTTATGGCCACCAAAACGGATCCTGTCCACACCTTGGCTGTGCCTAGAAATTCTATTCATAAAAGTAATGAACAGAATCGGTAATAAGAGCAGCCTGGGCAGAGTCCAACTCTCACTGGAAATGAGTCTGACAGGGACCTAACGGCCCATATCAAAGGGCATGGTACTTCATACTCCCGAAGCATCCCCACCCACAGGATTCCCTAAGGGACACGGTCTTCTCCAAAGCGTTCGACCACCCAACTACATGTAGACTGGTTGGACGAATTCCCACGCACCCTTCAGGATCCTGCTGAGGGTGTAGAGTTAGTCCAGTGTTCCACGACCAGGACGAGAACCACACTGCTCCTCCTGAATCTGAGGTTCAACTATCCGACAGACCCTCTTCTCCAGGACCCTAGTAGACCTTGCCATGGAGGCTTAAGAGTGTGACCCCTACGTAGTTGCAGCACACTCTGCGGTACCCCATTTTGAATAGGACCATGGGACCAACATCATGGTCTGCCAATCTAGGGGAACTGCCCTGTTTATTCAGTATTGCAGAGTTGCGTCAACCAACACAACCCTACAACATCCAGAGCCTTAAGGAACTCCTGGCGAATCCTTCTGTTTTCCTAATTTCACAAGAGGTGACTGTCAAAACTCTGTCAACTCTTTTGCAATTTCCATTAATATTTTGGGGCAAAAATTATCTGATGCATCTCTCAATATGTATGCTTATGATAAGTTGTCATGCAAACTCAATTTTCCTGGCTTCTAAGTGTCCATAGGCTGCATTTGACATTATTCTGTACGATTTGTTCCACCTTAAGCTAGCATTTAATGCTGAACAATGTGAATACTCATAGGGTTCAGTGAATGTGCATATGAAACTGATGGGTTTGGTACCTCCAAAAAGGTTAAGAACCACTTCTTTAGTGTTAGATTAATTTCTTATTCCCCTGTGTACTCTCCCTGGTCCTCTCTGCCACTTTCATCCTTTCTCTCTCCTTAGTCTGCTCTCTCCCCTCACACCTGCAATCAGTTGGCTAATAACCCCATGCCCATTGTTTCAGCATCCAAACTCTTTCTCAGTTACTCCTTGCTGGTTCCTTCCGTTATTCCCTGGTTTCCCACATTCACCTTGTGTCTCTGGTTGGCTTTATGGTTTATTTTTGTTTGGCTTATACCTTGGTAAATATATTCATTTATAAATAAGTAATTAGTTTACTACCAATGTATCTTACTTCTTTTCTGCCACCTAAAGAGACTACAGTCTCCACTCACAGGCTTTAATTACATTCAGAGTTCCTTCTGTATGTGTAGAACTTGGAAGGCTTTTCTTGTTTTTTAATATACCGAAAGCAGTTACTCTGAGTGAGTGTTTGGTGAGATGAGATGTCATAAAATATACTTATTTGCACACATGTAACTCGCTTAGTTTATGCTCTTATGTTTCATGATCTACTACAGGTAATGAAATGTACTTTCTGGTTTGATTGTAAAGTTATTGTTTTTGTCATGTTACCTTTTTCTGATGATTGATATTGTCCAGGATTGACTTCTGCTAATCTGGATATGCGGTTTTCCTCCTCCATGAAATACTCAAAAGCATCCTGTTCATGCATAGAAAATATAATGAAATTTACTCGTACTATTTATTTTGGCGTAACTTAACAAATTGCAGAGGTGTAGCAACATTTAAACTGCAAAAAGACACCAATAAGTGATAACAAACAAACAGGGTAAAAAAAGTTGTTGATGTTTACCACTATGGAAAGTAGTATTTACCTCAGCTTCATCGGGACTCTCTGTCTCGTCAGCTGCAAAATGACAAAGAAAACATGTTAATTGACCTACTTTTACACATTCATGTTTATATATGAAGCAGAGGTGGAAATGACAGTGTATGGTGGTTACAAAAGACACATTGAGTAGGAAGAGATCTCTCAGGAACAGAGTAAGATAAACTCATCAAGGTTTTATTATTCTGATCTATCTGCACAAGCAGTTGAGGGTGTGAAGGCAGGGCCCCACTCCTATGTTTTACCAACTACACCTGGTGAAATTGAAAGGTTATGAGTTTATGAACAGATATCAATATTTTTGAAGATAACTGTGGTTGACAGTGCAGGCAGATCAACCACATGCCTGCACAGCAATATATTACAACGCTGTGATTCAGTGTAGATTCTGGAAATGACAGCCTTCTCCCAGTGCTCCCAGTACTGCAGAAATACACCGCTCAGTCAGAAACAACCAATCAAAGCCAGGAGGAGGGTCTTAGCGGTGTCAGTCATTCTTGTGTTCACTTGCTCTTTGCTAGGCCATAGCTGTTCACCACAACATATCCTGCTACGAAAGGACAGTTCGAATAGCCACAGAGTATTACAGTAACGGTAAGTTATTTTTCCACCATTGGCACTCTGTGTAGTGTACAGGAGGTTGTTTGGCAGTGCTAAGACCTTCCCACTGGTTCTGATTGGTTGTTTTCGATCGGAGGTGGTGCATTTCTTCAGGCTACAGTGGCAGCTCAGGGAGGAGGTGGAAGAGCTCGATATTTTCACAGAATATCTGTCTTATATTATACTGCCATGACATTGTGACAGTTTAATAAATATGGACAAAGAACATATTTTTTGTAAATGTTACATACTGCACATGTAAGCTACAGATAATAAATTTGTATGACTACCTAATTTCACAGGACAGGTAATTTTAGCCTTTGAACTAAGAAATAGTTTTATTTTAAGTGACCAAGCAATGGATTTATTAAGAAGATTACTATTGCAGATGAAACAAATTTTATAAATGTTGTCTGTAGCTATTGTAAAACCAAAAATACCAAAATATTATTATAAGGTATACATCTCTTCTATGTAAATTGTAAACAAGAGCAGAGTCTTGGTGGATGAAATAGATTTTATTAGAAGGATCAAAGGCTATCACAATAATTTGCACTGTAAGTAAAAAAAAAAGAAAAAGATTCGTTATCCTCATATTAAGAGTCTTACCTGTTCTCAATGTTTCATCTAGATTGGTTTCTTTTCCTTCAGTCATTCGTCTACTTTCAAAAACCATAGCATCTATTTTTTCCAGAAGGGTTATTATCTCATTTATGTCCATCATACTTCTTGTACATGTATGGTATCTTTTTTCAGAAAAACTGCTCTTTGCTTTCAGGTTCTGAAGTTCATTTTCACTATTTTCATCTGAGTCATCTTGAGTCACAACTGTCATCACATGAGAGCTGTGCTCCTTTCCCAGTGTTTTTTCTAACCACTGCAGTCCAGATGTATACTGGTTTTCATGCTGGTCATTTGATACCAGCAAGATAAAGGCACGATGTTCTGGAATTACTGGAATCATGTCAAATCTTGGAAACCCAAGCAGATTAATTACAGAGATCTGACGACCCAATAGGTCATAGAGTCTTGATGAAAACTCTTTCTCATGTATCTCCTGGTCATGGTCCAGTAAGATATTTTTCGATCCAATCTCAATGGAATTTTTGTTCCCAATTAATATAAGTGTGAGTGGAGGAGTCACTGAAAAACAGAACATGAGTAATGTTATAAATGACAGAATTTTTATAGAAGTCTTTGAATAAACATAATCTTTGAAATCTTACCTGCATTCATTGCTGACATATTTTCATTTCCATCTTGAACATTTTTCCTCACAGATCTCGAGGTGTTGAGCATCATGACTATTGATGACTAAAGAAAATACATTTAATAATCCATCATTTAGCTGTAAACATAATTATATACAATAGTACTTCCCAAAATGAAAGTGTATAGCTTCCACATACTGGTCTTAGCCAATGTATGTATGTATGTATGTATGCATGTATGCATGTATATATGTATGTATGTATGTATGTATGTATGTATGTATGTATGTATGTATGTATGTATGTATGTAAAATACTTGCTGAATCACACATAAGCAATATAATATATTGCCTCACATGAACCCAGACGTGGCATTGCGAGGTGAGGTTTTGTAAGGATGTTTATCCGTTTCTGAGTTTGGTTTATATCAGTTATAATGTATAACTGGCACCTTTAATGACTCTGTGATATTACAATGGAATTTCTGAAGCTGCTGAGATTACATCTCTGAGTTCATTTGGATATAAACTTGTACAATGACTTTGGAATTTGGTTTATTGAAATAAGCAACTTCATTTGAGTTAACTGATTCTCCTTCAACTAAATGATCTTCTTTTTTATTATCTAGGAACTATTTCTAACTCTATCCTTTCTGGAAAATATTTCAAAGTGACATTAGGGATATGGCCTACATGTACATCAGACACAGACATGCACCTTAACTGTAAATATACACTGGGACTAGTTCCATCATATCTGACTGATTTTTTTTACACCCGGTATGGACTTTCTTCTCAGGCCTTTTCTGGTTCCCAGAGTTGGGACAGATCTGGGTAGGACAGCATTTAAATATTCTGCCCCCTGTGCTTGGAATGACTTTCAGCAAGAGTCTAAATTGACAGAGAAAGTGACTCTCAGTGAACTAAGAACATTGATGAAAGGCCGTGAAGAAGAAAGTTTTAACTGCCATTGCTCTTAATAGTTTTGTTTTTTATTAGCTCTGTCCTACCTGGACTCTTTTGTTAGGAGGTATTGTCTTGGGTAAGCAAGAAAACAGAATTAGAATAATCAAACCAGTTCATTACAAAAGAAATATACAATATAATGTATAGTAAGAACAGAGAAATAGTTTACCATTTCAGTTCTGGACCACAGTTATGAGTCCTTATGGGAACAAACATAGTGTGACCCCGAACAATAAGATCCAACTCCTTTTATGCCTCCAAAGTATTTAAGCTCCTCCCTAAAAGGGTTTTCCCCTGTGAAGTCAGTTCCTTAACATATTTGTTCAATGCTGGGTGTCAGCAACCAGTTCTAATAATTTTTCTACTTGCATAGTGTAACATGTGATGTATGGATAGAACTGGCAGAGGCAGACATCCTCTGACCTAATCAACACATCTTACACATTACAGTCTGATTAACATAATGAAAACTTAAGAAAATAGAAACCTTAACAGGTAAACATGATCCTGTAACAGCTGTTTTTCTTATTGTATCCTTTAATGCTTTTAAAACTAAACAAATGCATTTTTCTGGTTGAATGTAAATGTTATGTGTAAATGGTGCTGCTGTCTTGCCAGGTTCCTCTTAAAAAACAAGATTATAGATCTCAAGGTTGTTTTTTTAATCTGTTTGAGTAAAATTTATTATTATTAAAAGTATTAGTTAATCATTTAAAAAGATCCATCAGTTTTTGTCTGTACATGGCAGGTTAAAACAAATTCAGGCTTTTGTGCTTTGTGGTTTACTCAGTACAACAAGGAAGTCTAACAGGTCAGTACGCACACTGATAGGGTGTGGTGAAGAATTAAATTAGATTTTGTCTTTGCATGTTATAATTCAAGAGAGTATAAAATGCATGTGTTATAGGAGAAAGGACATTTCTAAGCATTCACTCCTACATCCTTTTTCAACTATTAGGCAAATTAGCAAAACCCTTCTTGTGAAAAAATATTTTAAATCAAAGTATAATTTACGTCATTGTGAAAACTTTGAAAAGCTCCACTTACCTTGTTTCGTTTTTACTGATTTGGCTTGCCTGCGGGATCTCTGCACAGACCACTGCAGAATGTGGCTCTGTTTCTGTTTAGCCAGAAATCTTCTGGATTCTTGTTTTTAATGGGTCTTCCCCTAACAAACTCCTCCTCCTGTCTATTGCATCATCCAGTGTGAGGAAAAGGAAACTGAAAGTGAAGATTGTTTTTTTTTTTACCACATAAACCACATAAAATCTTACTTGTTGGAGAAAGTGACAGGTCAGCTAAATGAAAACATAGAAAAGTTAAAATGCAAAAGGAGAATTTTTAAATCTTTGAAGATAACATTTAACCTTCAAAAAGCTAAACATGTTTTATTGACAGCTAGAGCACAATAGTAGTTTCCACGTTAAATTCCCAGTTCGACCAACGTCTGCCTACTCAAGTATGCCTGCCTATATTGTTATGTCCAGCTGCCGTCTGCTGGGTTTCATCATGCAGAACATTGCATGATGAATGTTATATTAACATTAAAAAATAATGTTAATAATTATACAGCTTGTGGAGAAAAAGTCGAGCTCATCCCACTTCCCCATGCTGGAGATTTTAGTTTAATAATAACAATAAATAAAGTTATCTTTAAAACTGATTACACAGGTGACATCAAGACCCAACAGTAGAGTCAGACGGTAATAAAATTAATCTGGTTGTGTGTGTTGTTATTGTGTCCTGCTGTTATTGTGTCCTGCAAACTTTGCTTTAATTCTACTTTTTTCTATTTAATCATAAAAAATCATAGTCAGGCAGAAAGAGAGTTATGCAACAGGAAGAGCAGGTTTCCTGAAGAAAGAGGAAGTTTCCAGCCTGCAGTGATTAAAAATAATTCAGACTGCTCATTCAGGGCATTAAAGGTTTAAAGAATAAAATCTAAATATTTTGAGTAATTGGATAAAACCCAGAGTAAAATACTTAAATTAATGATAACTTATGATTAAACCGATAATTAATATTGGTTTAACCAGTGGTTGATGTTGGTTTGATTATAAGAATATTTACTCTTATACTTATGAAAGTACTTAAAGGTGGAAGAAGTAACTGTAACTTGGTGTCAAATAATTAGAATAATGAATTATTCTTGGTTTCTTTTCAGAAATGTCTGTAATAACACATTATGATTATAAGAGTAACTAATAAATAATGGTTATAATATAAGTGAATGCTAAATCAGAGAAACTAAGGGGTTATAAATGTGATTTTGACATTGTACTTGAAATGGTGTAAAATGTGTAACTGTAATTAAAGGTCACTGATGTTGTGTTGGAGGTAGATGGTAGGTGAAAAGTCAGGGGGAAAGAGGAACGGCTAGGAGAGCGGAGGTGACCAAGACCTTATTGCTAAACTTTAACTTTCCTAAGAAAAGGTTAGACGCAAGAGGACTGTTGGGCAACTTGGGTCGTTAGAACAGACATCATGTCATGTCTCCAAGACGGTGATGGATATGAGATCATCGGTCCAAGCAGTCAGCCAATGAGACGGGCACAGTAACAAAGCTAGCCAATGCAAATGCACTACAAATGCACTGGCTAAGGGTGGATAAACCCTTTATAAGGTGAGTGCAAAAGAGGAATCGTTGGTTGGATCCTTCAGGCAGCTTCGAGCCAAGATCGAGATGGACAAAGAACTCTGCAGCTGAAGAAGAGCCGGAGCCACA